TAACGGCACCTTCATAGATGCAAGGCTTATTTCTGCCATATACAATATGTCTTGCAATGGAAGATCATTCAGTGGGATCATTTTCACAGTCACAAAATAGTGTCTCTTCAGGAAAGAAAAATCCTGCAAGGTCTAGTCCAACTACTGCCATCACTAATTTTTTTTTTCTTTCATTAAGTTTGTTGGTACCTTTTAGGTATACAGTACAGTTACTTTCATCATTGGGAACTTTTTTTTTTCAGAGTAGGAAAATTTTATTGAGAGAAAGAAACCTTCTGTCTAAGAGAGACAGAAGGGGGACTGGAAAGTGGGTTGCCCCCATCATTGGGAACTTGTACCTTTATATGATGTATCATGGCTCTTATTTTGTCACCATTCCCCTGCCCTTCCTTCAACCCCTCCACCCCTGCCTATTTATAGAGACTGTTTCCATGTTTTCCTTTCCCTTCTTTCCTTTCCCCTACTGCTCCCACTTCCTCTACCCCTTTAGACCTTTTCTGATTTCCTGTTATCAGTTATACATTTTGATCCTTATTTACCCTTTTAGTTTCTCACACCAGAGAAACTATTTGGTATTTACCCACGTGTCCTATTTATTTCACGTATGGCCTCACTGTGCATCCATTTAGCTATCAAGAAATCAACCAATAACAAATGCTGGTGGGGTTGTGGGGAAAAGGAACCCTTCTGCATTGTTGGTGGGAATGCAGACTGGTGCAACCACTGTGGAAATCAATGTGGAGATTCCTCCCTCAGTATACTAGGAGTAGAGGTCCCATTTGACCTCTGCTGGGTATCTTCCCAAAAGACTTAAAAGAATCTTACCACAGCAATATATGTGCGCCCATGTTTATAGTGGCACAGTTTGGCTAAACCTTGGAAACAGCCCAAATGCCCATTAACTGGAGACTGGATAAAGAAGATGTGTTTGTTTTGTTTTAAAAATAAAACAGAGGACTATTCAGCTGTACGAATGAGGAACTAGAGACATTTACAACTAAATGGATGCATATTATTATTATTTCTGTCCCTCTGTGGAATTATTAGGCAAGGTAAATAGTAGATCATACTTTTAATATACAGTAATTGGCTGGTTTCATAAGTATTCGTTGTAAAAGATCCAGGAGTAGGTAATAGATTCTAGTGATATTTAGTAGTTCTGAAATGTCACATAGGGATAGCCACATTGTTTTGCCATAGCAGTGATTTTTGATCAGAGACATACATCAAAATTACCCAAATAATAATAATAAAAAAACATAACATGTGTCTAGGCTCCATCCATCCCATGGGCAGCTATACGTGTGTATTGTAGCCTGTGTCCACACCCCCAGGCCCATAGGCCTGTAAAGAACCCTATTGTTAAGGTTTTTAAGTTTGAATTTAATGGCAGGCAGGACTTACCTCTGAATTTAGGTTTGTTGCTGCATACTCTGTCAGTTGTACTCATAGTACAATCAAGTGGTATGTAAAAAATTGTACATATGTACTGTCATAAGGGTTAAGCAAAGAAACTCAAAAAGAAAAAAAGACCAGGCATAAGACAGCAGTCTTTTTCTGTGTTTTCCCACAGAGGCAAGTTTGGAGTCCACATCTCTAGAGCACTGGTTTTCAAGTGGATGGGATGGAGCTAGGATTTTTGCTCAGTAATGGAGAACTTGCCTAGCATATACAACGCCCTGGGTTCAAATTCCTGGCACTGTCAATTGATGGATAAGTAGATAGATAGGCAACATAAAAATACACCAGTCTCAAGTAGATGGGATGATTCTGCCTCCGTGGGTCAGTTGATAATATGGAGACAATTTTGATTGTCACATTGTGGTGCTGTTAGCAGTTAGAGACCAGGAATGCTTCCAGCATCCTGTAATGCACAGGACAGTCCTCACAACAGAGTTGTTTGTCCAAAAACATTAGTATTTCCAACTGACCTACCCTAACAGGATCAGAGTGGTGTATTTGCATTTTTATCTATTTAAATGTAATTCTCCTTGGTGGATTTAGGAGGCATGAAAATAATGATTGAGCAGGGAAGAATTTAAATAAAGTAAGAAGGTATTTCAAAGGACTTCCCTTTCCCAGAAGTGTTGAAGTCTTAAAAGAGGTTTCACTTTTCAGATTGACTAACCTCATGGTTTCATCTGGGAATTTGGATGTGGGAAACTTACCTTCTTATCTCTTGGGAGGCTCATTGGTTTTTCCTACTTCACCCTTTAATTTGTGTCATTTTGTCTTTTGCTTTTAAAGAATAAAAGTCAAAGTTAAATATATATATATATCATAAGAGGCTTTTCCATTTTTACCTTCACCACTTATCCACACAACCCCATATAGCAGACTGAGAAAGGTGATGAGGAACAGGAGAGGTTTGCATTGAGTTTTCCAAAGTGAGTGTTGCCTTTGTCTCCCAAGGTACAATATTTGGTGAAGTAGGAGGAAGGAATTATTGCTTATGCTATTGTAGCCCACTGTTTTCCAGTAGATGCTGAACTAGTATTAATTGATACTACTATAAAAGGGGGATGACACGTCCAACAAAGTTGGGAAATGGGATTAAACCAACTTAGCATGAATTGTATATATAGTGCATTACAGAGCATCTAGTATATTAATAGAATGTTTTGGGAAGAGAGAGCGGTGGGGGGGCAGGTACAGCATTTTTCAAATGTAGTTAGACCCTTCCTGAGACCCATTTTTTTCTGTGAGCATCTCTTGTCCCTCCTGGAATACTTTTTAAAGATGATCCTCTGATTAGGTAGCTTGAGAGTAGCATTTTCTTCTTGGTGCCTTTATAAGAGAAGTTAAAAAAGTGTGCACTATTTTAGTCCACACAAGGTTTTATTAAATAAATAGTAAATGCATCTTTTTAAAAATCAAACCTTAAGAGAATGTATTCTAAATTTTTAGCTTTATACATTTTCTCTGACGTACCTGGAAGCGGAGACATGGGGCCTCCTGCCAGTCTTTTCTTCCACTGATTTCCTTCCTCATCCCTTCACGTGCTCATCCTTTCATGCTTTCAGGCATATTTCTTTCTCCTTGTCACACTCAGACATTGTGATATCCAAGGTGGCCTTGCGATGACCAAGCTCAGAGGATGGGCTACTGAGTCTCTGCTTGCCCCTTGTTTGTTCTGCTAAGGAATCCTGCTAGCTTTATTCACCCCTAGGTTTCTTGAAAATAACAGTAGAAGCCAGGTGTGGTGGTGCATGCCTGTAGTCCCAGCACTTGGGAGGCTGAGGCAGGAGGATTGCTGTGAGTTCGAGACCAGCCTGGGCTACATAGTGAGTTCCAGGTCAGTCTCAACTATGCAGTGAGACCCTGTCTCAAAAAAACTTAAAAAAAAAAAGAAAGGAAAAGAAAATAACAGTAGAAGGAAAATTACATAGAAACCTTGTTTTCTTCTCTCTGTCCCAACTTCCCTTCCAGGATTATCTGTTGCTACCACCACTCTAGCTGTTGCAGGCCTGGGGCATACTGCCTTTTTTTTGTAGATCATGTTTGATTTTTGCATCCAGAGCCCTCCTCCTGCCCACTTCCCATTGCAAATTTGGCATCCAGCGCTTAATGGGTTTTCCCTGTAATCAGCCATCTGGAGCCATTCTGTGAAAGCTTCTGAAGTGAGAGAAGTATGAGGAGATAACACATGGGGGAAGCGGCATCTTCAAAGCCCAGGGAAGGCAGTACTCTGAATATTCACCAAGCACTAAGCACTGGGCTGGCTAGTCTCGGCACCCACGAGTCTGTGTGGTTTATATTTGTTCCATCAGTAAAATAACTTGTTCAGGAGCCCACACATATATCGAATGAGTGAATAAATCAGGATTTTAAGCTGCTCTCTTTGGTTTTAAAGCTTTTGGCTTTCCGACTACATCACACTCCACCCCTGATCAGAGCCAGCTGTGTGCTTCTGGAGTGACTAGTGTTCAGTGATGACTCCTCTGTCATTACTTACATTTGGTGTTTTCAAATGGCTTGCCTGGAAGTTCTATATGGTCCCAAATGTTGTAGGACTTGAAGAATGTAAAAGGGAAAATTTGAAAGATAGGCTTATCCCATAAAGGCAGTAAACAGGATCTTGTAAGCTTTGATAACTTAAATAGATCTGCAGTATCTTTTTTTGAATAATGCTATGGAACAAATGTAGTTTAAATTTTGTTCCCTGCTTTTAGAATGTTAGCTTGGGAAGGAATTTCAGAGAGACTGTTCTCCATAAATGAGCTGCTAGTCCTTCTAAAGCACAACTCTCCCACTTCCCCTTCTCATTAAGTTTCCATTTAGCCATTAGTTAGGAGCTTCAAAAGGGAAAATCCAATCATGTATAATCTCCAGCTAATGGGCATCTATTGAGCGACTAGGTCACCATAAAGAATAATTACACAGTGCCTCTTTGTGCAGTAAACACAAAAATCAAAAGAGAATGCATTCCCTAAGCAAGCCAGGTTGTTAGTGGCCAACAACACCCTTGTCTCCAGGGGAAAGGTTGGGGCACCCGCCATGCTTGTGAGGGGAGATTGCAAAGCCATTCTCAGAAAACAAGGCTATCAAGGCGGGAGAAGGAGAAAGGCAGGGATACTTCCAAGGCTTTGCCACTTATAATTACTGATTGTTGGGTTGAATTACTAAATAGCAGACATTCTAGACAATGTTTTGTTTAAGCATTGGGAACTTTGTGGATGTCTGGGGTTTCTTGCCACAAGTAAATAACAGTGGTGATTGAGGTAGAGCTGCAGCCCTACTCCCATAACTTTGCCTGTTTTCTAAGCCTGGCCAACCTACATAAATGAAGGCTTTCTGCTTACTTTTGTCCGGCCACTAACTATTGATATGTGAAAGATGAGCATAGTTCTCTTGACCCAGATGGCACATTAGCCAGAAGCCAAAGAGTTCCTGAGGTTGTATTGATACACTCTAGTTTGGGTTTTCAAAGTTATGTCTTATAGTAATTTAGCATTTGCAAAAGTCGTCAAAATTCAAATAACCTGTTTTTCCCCCCTTAGAACACTTCAGTTATGGAAGATCAAAATGAAGATGAGTCCCCAAAGAAAAATACTCTTTGGCAGGTAGGAATAATAAGATAGCAATTAAATTACTGTAGATAAGATGCTCCCTCACTTAATGCCCTTGATGAAATCAAAAGCCAAGCTTTTAAAAGTGTTTTGTGCACTTTGGCTAGTTTCGGAAACTACTGTAGTTTATCTTTTTCTTAGGGAATTGGTATCACAAATAAAGAATTTTGGAGTTTTCACAAAGATTCTGAGATGGCTGTGGCCTAAAATGTTCTATCCATCTGTGTCCAAAGATGGAGAATGGTTTATCTTCGATCGCCGAAGTGTGGTATACCATGCCACACACTGTATGCACTGATGATTTTTTTCCTCCATTCTTTCCCTACTCCCACCATTTTCTCCCATTTTCTGTTGTTTTGCCTTTGTTAATCTCAGTCTTCTCTCTTGGCTGTATTGTTGCCAGTCTCTGTCCCAATCACCCAAGTTTTTTGTGGGGTGGGGAGGGAGCAGCATATAAAGTTTCATGGTTTGATGTTTTCACAATCACTATGGTATACATCATTTCCCCTTCATGAGGACTTGAATAAAGGTAACACATACCTAAACCTCTAGAGAATAATACAAAAATATAGAAAATAATGAATTTCGTTTGATTTTAAATTAAAGAGGAAAATTAGCAAGAAAAGCATACACCTAACAAACAAAATGAAATGAAACAAAACAATGCTAGGAAGATTTTGCTGGGCTGAGTAGGTGGTTGGAAATAGAATATTTTCTTTATTGAGCATGGTGTGCGAACAATTCTGTACCCTCCTTCATGTTTATTATTTTGCAATAGAAGTATCTTCATTTAGTATTGATTCTTTTCAACTCAGTGGTTCTTAATACGTTAGCTTTCACTTTTTTTTTCTTCTATCTTCCAGTGAGCTAGTTAATGGTACAGAATTCTCTAGGGTGGTTGGATGGTTAGGAACCCTTCTGTAAATGAAATAACCCCTTTGCTGGTTGAATGGGATAGTGGTATGATTAAACACTTTATAAATTACATAGCAATGCATAAATGCTACCATAGTTATTACTATTATATTTAATCTGCTATAAAAAGTTATTCTAGTACACTATCAAAAAATAGTGAATAAAGGAGAAGAAAACAAACATTTTCTTGTTCAAGATTAGGGATTTTTGGTATTTTAATGTATATCCTTTACTTTTTTTTTTTTTCTCCTTAAAGATAGGGTCTCACTATGTAGCCCAGGATGGTCTTGAACTCACAGTGTAGCCCTTGCTGGCCTTGAACTCATGACCCTCCATCTTCAGCTTCCCGAGTTATGTGGTGATAGACGTGTGCTACCACATGGGGCTTATCCTTTATGTTGTCTTGATTTGCTGTCTTCGCAAATTATGTTCATAGTGCTATATGAAATTCTGGTCCTTTTGTTTCTTAATATTATTTTGTGAGCATGTTCTCTTACTATAGTCTTATTTTATAAACCAAAGTTTAATGGCTACGTTATAGCTTTTCTATGTAGATGTGTTATAATTTGCTTTAACCAACTGCTTTTAATTATTACTTCTAATTTTTCTCAGTTATAGTATTGTGGTAGATATAATTATGTTTAAATGTAGTGCAGTAGCCTCTTTTTATACCTCTGATAGTCATTATAACAAAGAATTTCATTTCCTCTGACTTGAACTCTAGTTTTTGGGTCATTTAGGCGAGTAAAATATAAAAATCTCTGCTTAATACTGCCCCCTGGTGGTACTTTATCCAGTGAGTTCTGCTTTACTCTAGATAAAAGGGGAAAAACATTCTCGAACAATTGGTTGGGAGACAAATGGCTTGTGACCTTACCTCTGAATGTGAACTTAAATAATTACTTCAGATATGAAACTTATAAGGCTTCATCCAGGAAGGTCAAAGATTCCTTTTGATATTTACAAAGGATGTCTTCTTTCTGAGATGGGTTTAATCTACTTTAAGTTAGGAAACATACTGGTAACAAAAGCCCTTGGTTCTTTGGCTGCTAAATTCCTAATGGAATAGTCATTTGTACTCCAGCTCTTTACTTTTTAAAATTCTCTTATGTTGTATGTTATTCCTTCTGGTATTATGTACAAGGCTATCAGAGAAGTGATGGCAAATGTTTGGCAAAAGTACAGTATTGAGATTATTTTGTTTTAAAACAGGGAAGTTATCAAGCCTCATAGCACCAGTAGTACTGTAGTTGTGGTTTGAGACTAGGGATTCAGATTGTTTTCCATGCTGTTGTCCAGGTGCAATATATGTAGTTTTCTTTCTTTTCTTTTGTTTGGTCTTCCCTCCTCTCTCAGCCTCCCCTGTCCCTTTTTCCTCCCCTCCCCACTTCTGCTAGGGATTGAACCTAGAGCCTCACACAGTGCTAGCCACCAATGAGCTACCACTCAGTCCTGTAGGTTTTGTTTCGTTTTTTTTAAATACTGATGTTACACAAGGGTATATAAGTAGATTTGATGAGGAATGCTTTGTTTTAGGTATTTGTGAGTTATCCAACAGATTTTTAGATATTCATGATTGACTTTGTTCACTTTCTGAGAAGGTGGTTAAGAGAAGGGAGAGAAAGTCTAAACTATATTGTCAGCAGTTTATTAGTAACCTTGGGAAAATATAGAGGGGATCAAAACTGCCAGGTAAAATGGAGTTTTTTGTTTGTTTGTTTGTTGTTTTAGATAAAATTACTTTAGGTTTTAACATAGAACCACTTCTTTTCTTTGTTAGACCCAGTGCTCTCAAAGTGTGGTCCCCAGTTTGCAATCTCAGCCAGTGTTGTCAAATCATCTGGAACTTGTTAGAGGTGCAGAGTCTCAACTCTACTGCAGACACTTAAAATCAGAGCTCTGGGGTGGGACCCAGCAGTCTATGTGTTAATGAGCCCACTGTTGTTCTGATGCAAGCTCAAACAAGAAACACTAGGATAGATGTACAATAGTACCAGTTTCAATTACCTGAGGTTAGAAAACATTAAATGGAAAATTTGGGGGGGGCTACATACATGTATTTTTTATTACAGCATGTTGTAATTGTTCTATATTATTACTAGTTACTGTTATTAATTTCTTGCCATGCCTACTTTGTAAATTGAACTTTATCATTATCATAAATGTATAAAAAAAGCATAGTTTATGTAGAATTTGGTACTATTCATGGTTTCAGGCGTCTGTTAGGGGATTTGGAATATATCCCCAAAGGGACTACTGTACATAGCATTAACTTTTAACTTTGAGGAAGTAAATCATCCTGCCAATAGTCAGTTGCCATTTTACCAAATTGAGCATTTCCCATAAGACAGTTATTTCTAAAATTAATCTAATAACAATATGTCTTTGGAGAACAATGATTTAAGATACCATTTAGCTTTAGAAATAGCTGTAGCTCCAGTGTTTATTGTAGTGACTAATGTGAGGAGTTGGACCATGAGTACATTTTTAATTACTTAAGAATGAATTAATAAAGAAATGAGTTTGACTTTAGGGTACAACTGTCCTTTTGAGGTTAAATATACAGGTTGAAAAATGTTTCCAATTAAATAACAATGAGGTTTTTTTCTCTTGTCAAACTAATCATTACTATTTTTTTTTTCTGTCATAGATAAGTAATGGAACATCATCTGTGATTGTCTCCAGAAAGAGGCCATCAGAAGGAAACTATCAGAAAGAAAAGGACTTGTGTATTAAATATTTTGACCAGTGGTCTGAATCGGATCAAGTGGAATTTGTGGAGCATCTTATTTCACGAATGTGTCATTACCAGCATGGACATATCAACTCTTACCTGAAGCCCATGTTGCAGCGGGACTTTATCACTGCGTTACCAGGTAACTGCTCTTGTTTTAAACAGGGAGCAGTGGAGAGGTGCCCCACCCAAGGACCTAGGCGGGACTGCATGGATCTTTATGAAACGTATGAACGAATACTGTGTAAAGCACTATTTCTTTGGGACATACACTGTATTTTCAATGTACAGTACAGCACTCAAATTATAACTTAGCGTCTTCCTAGGAAATGTAGGCCATTCATATGATTAAGTGTTAATCATTGGTCAGCACTGTTAGTTCATTTAGTTTGTTTAATGTTTGCCTTTTTTTTTTTTTTTTTTTTGAGACAGGGTCTCACTATGTAGTTAAGACTGACCTGGAACTCACTATGTAGCCGAGGCTGGTCTTGAACTCACAGAGATCCTCCTACTTCAGCCTCCCGAGTGCTGGGATTACAGGCGTGTGCCACCATGCCCAGCTAATGTTTGCTTTTTTAAAAAGTGATACTTTTTAGTGTGATGCAGTTGATATATGATAAGTTTGCACTTTGCCTTTATATGAAATTTTAAAAATACATGGGGCATGCACAAAGTTCTGACCTCAGATTTCAGTACTGCAAAAACATTGAGAAAACTGATAGTGTCTTTGTTACATTAAAAAAATTCTTGTTATTAGTACATGTTGTAAGATATAATGATTACATTCCTTGTAGGGAATTGGTACACGTGCATACCACATCTCAGTTCTTTGTTTTCTTCTTCCTTCCAGCATTTATTTCTCCGGCATCAGATTCATCTGTTTAGCTTATAAGTCATTATAAAGTTAATTATTAACAGCCAGATTAATAGGCAAAAAAACATAAAAGACACATAGGACAATTATACTAAGTCAAAGTACATTTTAAAATACATTGTCCATGCTGGATCACAAATTTTCTTCCTCTCTCTTTTATTATTGTCTGTCTTTTATTTTGTACTTTATTATATGGTATTAAGTTTTTCATATAAGAGAAACCATGTGGTATTTAAGCTGTGTGTCTGATTTAGTTCACTTAACATTATGGCCTCAAGATGCATCCATTTTCCTACAAGTGACTCAAGTTTATTCTTATTTTTGTTTTGTTTTGTTTTTTAGTTTTTTCTTTTGGTACTGCGGATTGAACTTGGAACCTTGTGCTTACAGGCAGGCAACGGAACCACTGAGCTAAATCCCCAGCCCAAGCTTATCCTTCTTTAGGGTAGAGTCAGGACTCAGTTGTGTATAAATACTACATGGTATTTTGTTGTGGTGATGGTTGTGGTTGTGGTTGTTTTTTGTTGTTGTTGTTTGTTTTGTTTTGTTTTGTTTTGTTTTTGAGACAAGGTCATGCAGGCTGGCTGTGAACTCACTCTGTGTTACCCAGGCTGGCCTCTAAATTGCAGTGATCCTTTTGCTTCGACCTCCCGAGTGGTGGGATTATAGGCATATACCATCATGCCTGTCTAATACCATACTTTTTTGTCCATTCGTCTGTTGATGGGTATACAGTCTGTTTCTGAGATTTAGCTGTTATGAATTGCACCACTATAAACATGGATATACATGCATCACTGTGATAGGATTTTTTTTTTTTTTTGGACAATACTTTGAAGGGTAATAGCTGTGTCAAATGGGATTTCTAGTTTTCGCTTTTTGAGGACTCTCCATATTGATTTTTGTAGTGGCTGTATCAGTTTACACCTCTACCAACAATAAAGAAAGGTTCCTTTTTTCCCACAGCCTCACCAGCATTGTGTTATCAGTTGATTTGATGATAGCCATCTGTTCTAGAATGAGATGGAATATCGGTAGCTGACAAAAATATTTTCTCATTCTGTGGGTCTCTTAATGCTGTTGCTGGGTTTCTTTGCTGTGTAGAAGCTTTTTAATTTGACGTGATCCTGTTTGTTGATTCTTTGCGTTGTTTCTTGTGCAACTGGGATTTTGTTCAAAAAGTCTTTGACTATACCTATGTCTTCAAGTGTTTTTCCGGTTTTGGCTTCCAGCAGATCAAGTGTTTCTGTTCTAATACTTAGATCTTTGATCCATTTTGATTTTAGTTTAGTGCATAGTGAGAAAAATGCATCTTGGTTCAATCTTTGGTCTGGGGATAGCTGGTTTTCCCAGCACCATTCATCATCGAAGCTATCTTTTCTCAAGTGAAAGGATTTGGCCCCTTTGTCAAAGATAAAGTAGCTGAATGTGCCTAGAGTTGTTTCTGCATCTGTTCTGTTCCAGTTATCCACAAGTCTGCTTTTTTTTTGGGGACAGTACTATATTGTTTTTATCACTGTAGCTTAATATTGTAGTTTGAAGTCCAGGATCATAATGCCCCCTACTTTTACCCTTGCTGTTCTGGGTCTCTTCTTGTTCCATATGAACTTTTAGGATTGCTTTCTCCACTTCTGTAACAATTGCTATTGATATTTTGACTGGGATTACATTAAATCTATATAACAGTTTTGGAAGTATGTCGATTTTGATTATATTGGTTCTGTCTATCCAAGAACAGGGGATATCTTTTTGTTTTCTGATATCCTCTTCAATGTCCCTTTTCAGAGTACTATAGTTTTCATTGTAGAGGTCTCTCACTTCTTTGGTTAGGTTAATTCTTATATTTAATTTTTCTTGATACTATTGTGAAAGGTATTTCCTTAATTTCCCTCTTGGTGAGTTTGTTATTGGTGTACAAGAACAGTATTGATTTTTGCAGGTTGACTTTGTATCCTTCAATGATACTGAATTTGGTTATTAGTTCTAGATGACTTTTAGTGGAGTTTTTGGGGGTTTTTGTAGTTCATGTTATCTGCAAATAGGGGTAATTTAACTTCTTCTTTTCCTATCCATATTACTTTTATTTCTTTCTCATCTAATTGCTCTATTTAATGTTGAACTACATGGAACAGAAGTGATGATAGCAGACATCCAGTCTTGTTCCTGGTAATGGAGGGAAAGGTTTCAGCTTTTCCTTGTGTAGTGTGATGTTGGCCATGGGCTTGTCACAGATAGCTTTTATCAGGTGGGGATAAAGACCTATTCCTATTTTCTTTGGGGTTTTATTTTATTACATGTTTTGAAGCTTGTTTCTGCATCCTCTTCCCTCACCAACCTCACCCTCATTTCTCACATGTACACAGACATGAGTGTACACATCACATGCACACTTCTCTAGTCAGGATTTCTTTGAGTTTTACTTTTTAAAATAAACCTTTTTTTTTTTTAAAAGAGTTTTAGGTCCAGAGATAAATTAGACGAAAAGCACAGATTTCCCACATCCTTTCAGATACACAGCCTGTTCCACTGTCAGCATTCTGCAGCAGAGTGTCTTGTTACAGTCTGTGAACGTATATCAACTCATCATCATCCCCCCAATTGCATAGTTCATGTTGGGGTTCACTTCTGGTGTTATTTTATGGATTTGGACAAATGTGTCCATCATTATAGTATCACACAGAATAGTTTTATTCCCTTTTGATTTTTGATCATTCATTCTTTTCTGTCTCTTGGTTTTTGTTTTTTATTTTACAGTTGGTTAGGTAAGATACAGAGATTTAGTCCCGAAGAAAATGCTGACGAGAATATTTTCTTCTGACATAGCGTACTATGCTGGTTACTGCTGTCATGCCAGGGTGGGCCCAGGAATAGCCAGGGACAAACGAGTGCCATTGTACCAGCCATGTCTCACATCAGAGCCACTGGTGGCTTCCTTAGCCTGTCTTGTGACTTACTCCGTGTGCTCGGCACTTCCATGACACACAGGTCCCAGACTTGAGGCTTGGGCTGAGACCCAGGGCTGCAGATTAATAGGCCAATTTCTAATTTCTAATCCCTTTCCCAGACTTTGTAAGTTTACTTTCTACAATGGTAGTGTTAAGTAAGGACATTTGCGAGTTAGCTTGGAAAAGTTATGACTGCTGGGTTTTTTTGTTTTTAATGTTGAATGCATGATCGGTCCATTTCTTCCATTCTACGATGGTAATATTTATTTATTTATTTAGCTATTTTGGTACTGGGGATCGAACTCAGGACCGTGGGCTTTTGAGGCAGTCGGCGGAACCACTGAGCTAAATCCCTGTATTTATTGCTGAAAGGGATCTTAGCTGTCACTTCATCCTGTTATCCATTGTGTAGATTTTAGAAAGGGAGGATCAGAAGAACAAGGTGAAATGTCCAGAAATATGAATCTTGGTTACTGTGTGATCATGTGAATGATGGAAGCCATTGGCTCAAAAGTTAATGCAAAGACTAAAGTCACTCTTAGTGAACATTACTTTGGAAAATTCCTTAAATTGGCCCTGAATGTTGAATATATGGATTACAGTCCTGTTCAGTTAAATTCACTTTTAATTGTGTGGGAGACGGAGAAATGGAGGAGGCAGGGAGAGAGAAGCAGATATGCTTTTGAGTGTACAAAAGAGTTGCAGGTGAATGGAAACCAGCTGTGTGTACATGGCCTTCTGTGTTTGTAGTGTCTGAACTGCATCTTACACCAAGAAAAGACTGGTGAATTTTTGAAGCTGATGACTATACTGTTCATTATAAGTGCTTTTACTAAATGAATCCGACTGTTTTCCCCCCAACAAATTGTGTTTATTGTTTGTTTTCTTCCGGATTTGGTTTTATTTTCTTCCCTGTAATTTGCTTTCTGAATGGTTTAGTGTTCCAGGGAACTCCCTTTGTAGGTTCGTAGAGTAGCCACAAGGTGGCACTGTTGAAGTTCTCTTGATTCACAGAGTACTGTACAGTTCCAGGCAACCCCTTCCTTCTCTTGGGGAGTATGCAGCCTTGGAGAAGAGGCAGAACAGATGAACATGTGTTATGTATATAAATATGGTTAGTATAATTGCATACAATTCAGTTTTCATTACAGAGAGTTTTAAGGCATTGTCCATATCTCTGTTAAAGTGGAATTTTGTGGTATTGAATATTACATGAAATGACTGGACTGTTGGCTAGGATATGGAAATATTTTTGTTAAAATGCTATTTGTTTTAACAGGACTTGATCTGAACATATATACATATGTCAGTATATTTAATACA